AAAAAGCAGGCTTCCAAAACACAGTTTCAGCCCGTAATTCAGCTTTGCAAAGTGAAAGCATGCAGAGTACAGACTAGCGAGGCATCCAACACCCAACACGCTTGCCTCACTCCAGAGTCTTTTTGGACTAAGACAACTTTAACAAATCCTTGTTTACATTACAGATTTACATTCTAAAAGTCAGGGGGCCTGACCCTCGGTCCTTATTCAGTATCTACCAAGTTCCCCAGTTGCTAGTACTGACCTCGCACGGAAAGACCACGTCTCTCCTAAGACTTTCACTGGGAAGATTTTCCAGTGTTTATTTCCAAACCTTGGCAGTCTGGGTAAGAGTTGTCTGCTGTTGCTTTTGTTATTGCCTATTATTATTACTAGTACAACAACTACTACTTCTAATACAGCAACTAAGGCATGGTGCAAAAGAGGATTGATTCCTAAAAGAAGCTGCAAACTGTGCAGCTCCTCTTCCAGCTTTTTATCTACATATTGCTATTCTTTTGTTTAAGGAGAGCTTTCTCTAAACAAACCTTGCACAAAAGGTTTAAGTAATTAGTGATGGATTCAGGCAATACGGCCATTCAAATATGGCTGTCCTCTGATCTAGAATGAGCTAATCAAACACCAGCAAACTAATTATTTCAGACACTGTACAGTAATCACCAAGACCAAATGTGAACATTTACAATCAAAACAGGTATTATTTTCTGCACTGGAAGACAGTGTCATGATCTCTGTACATCGAAGCTAATATGTATAATGTGTAAGCTTTCCAAAGAAACTTTCAGTACTGGTGCCCACTGCCAGGAGGTATCGATAAGGACCTGCTCAGCATGTCAAGATAATAAGCAGGCTAGCGTACTAATTTGCAAACTCAAAGAAACGGCCGTTTGCATTTGAAATATAACTTGTAGAAAATACACATGTAATACAGTTGTATAGGTATTTCTGGGATAACCACTGCTCAACTCTGCTCTCAATGAAATGAATGCCTAGTTTTCTGCTGTCTCACAGCACAAAGTTCGCACCTACACTAAGGGGGGACCTACAGCTCTGTTTTGGATTTCTTCCCTCAACTCCTGTGCCTTGAAAAGAGCAAGAACACTTTTCAGATGACCAACCCAAGTTCATTCACCTCATCATCTATTTGCCTTGAAATATGCAAGGACTGCTTTTGAAAATTATTTTAGAGAATAATGCTAGGAGTCACTAGGATTTTTTTTTCCACCCAAGTCAACCTGAAACTAGACATACAAAGAATCTCACCAGAGTATTTTCCATTTAGGATAAATTATTTTGACATTTCTTAAAAAAGTCAAACAGATCTCTCTCAAAGCTTCACTTTCTTGGACAGGTAGGCAAGCAGGTGACACAGACGGCACTGAAGTAAATGCCGCTTTGCCACAGATGATGGTACATTTCCTGCACAGCACACTGAGGCTACAAAGATGCTTCACAGAATGACAGACTATGGTCTCAATCCAGTAAGTCCTACTCAAATCAGTAGCCTTTATTCACATTAGAAACACTGCTGAAATTAACAGGATTGAACTATGAACTAGTCATGCAAACAAGCACTTGGGGGGTGGAAAAAAGGAAGACTGAAAATTACAACTGATAAATATTTTTTATTATATATGTCTGTATAGGACAAATGGACATCGCCCCTGTATTACACAAATGGGGTTTCTAACTTCCCTTTCGGTAGTACTTACTAAGGTACTGTGTTTATTGTTGCTTTTGAA